AAATTTCTCTAATAAAATACTGGTTTATTCAAAAATTAAACATTATTATTATTAGCACTAGTTGCAATTTTTAGCCATTTTATATTCATTTTATCATTTGAACATTGTCTGGGCATTCGTTTTATGACCGTCTTGTGAAACCAGGTTTATACCCTCATGCTTCTCACCATGTGTATGTTGCAACAAAATGCAACAAAACTGCATTTAGTTCCTACATGTTTCCCAGAGGACTAAAGGTTGTGGCTCACTGTTGTGAATCGGTCGAGGCAGCGATTACTGAAGATTATTTGAGTCATTGGGTACATAACTGTGACTAACAGGGTTGAAAGAGTCAAACATTTCTCTGCGGTTTACTCGGTGAGACCGATCGTTGCTCAACGACCTGTGAAAGGGGAATTATACAAACGTGGCAAGGAGAGGTGGGGTGGCGTTAGCTGTGGGGAGGCTGTATCTTTATCACCTGAAGCCGTCGGAGAACAGGCGTGAACTGAATTAGTAGTTTCTGTAAATGAAAGGACGTGAGCTTGTGAGCCACAGCTGGTTTGGAGAGGGGGATCAGACGAGAAAGAGTGTGACAGCAGGGTGACGGTATGGCAGCTCCAGGGGTTGCCGTGACTCTAATGACTTCACCTTGCAGAAATGGGTGGAAATTACCAATGAAATGAGTTTTTGGCTGGGGCTTTTAGATATCCCTTAAATATGATGGCCAGTCTTTCGGTAATCTCCCTGAGGCAGAGAAGAGAGGTGTGTGTGGTTGTGTCAGTGTGTGTGAAAAAGCGAGGGGTACGAGAGATGAATCAGTGAAGGTCACACACTAACAGAGTGGATAGAAGTGCCACAGCGCTGTCTGTTGGCAGGCTAACAGAGTTGAGTTAAGCATTCAGAGCTGTGAGGCAAGCAGAATCTCCCTCTCTCGCTTACCGCCGCCATGGCAGCGAACAGGCGCAGAGCGATTGATGAGAGGTTTAAGACCTTAATCATGAGGAGAAGAAGTGAGGCAGGAAGCTGGAACATTACGTCTGGAATGAGCTCTCTTTCAGCACTTCATATCCCTGCAGAAGGGCTGCAGAAACTCTGCACTGTCACGCTTCGCTGCTGATCTCAGATCAGCCCTCTCCTCATCCATTTAATGCATGCAAGACCACCTTACTGGGGCAAATTGAAGAAGAACAAATATAATTGCCCAATCACCTGCTAAAATGTTGCTAAAATCGGATGCTGGCAAAACGTTTTGACACGTTATGTGTTAACTTTTTTAACCGAATTACTGCCTTTGATATATTCCGTTTTGAGCACTCGGAGGCAATACTAATCCAAGCATAGCTTCTTTTGAAATCAGTAACAGCCCCATCAAATTAGCCGACCAGCTTTTAGAACTCATTTACCACCCCGGCACTTGATGTGGCCACCTGGAGCAATAGTCTCCAAGAGATACAGTCACGCTGAATATCTTACTGATTGAATCTGTTATCCCAAATTGTTGTCGCTGCAGATCTTCAGCTGTCACTGTGGCTCACATAAAAAAATGCTATCCATTTTTTGCCTGCAGGAAAAAACTCATTTTAATTTCCTTCAAAACATTTAATTAAAGATACTTATCTGATTTGAAACCCCACTCCTAAATTACAAATGAGACTACCAGAACAAGTCCTTATCTACCTCCAGTGCATTGCCGCTTAAGTACTCTTAATGTACTCTGGAAAGAAGCAGTTCCAAACTTGCGGTCGATTCATGGCATGTTCTGCTGATGATATGAATAACAATGGTAATGTTTTTATACATCTGAAGTAGCTACATCTCTGAGAAAGGGCCAGCTGCATTTTGAGAGCCTGACTCAGCTCACGCTGCAGTTGCTGTATACTCTGGGCACATGGACAAGCATGTGAATCTTGTTACTTAGAACCTAAAGTTATCTATAGTTTAGGCCAGCAGATCTCCTGAGCTGTGGGAAAAGCTGAACCCGCTTTCAAGGACAGTTGTGCATTTAACTCGGAAAGCCCGGCCAAATGCAACTCCGGTTTTCTTTAAAAGGGAGGTTAAAATTGACTGCGGCATTAAGACTTCAGATGGGGATGTCACCCCAGAGCAATCTCCTGCACTGTCAGCAGACTTTGACATCTAGATTAACCT